AGTGTTCCATCTCATTTCCCTTTGGGGTTGCTGTAGGTGATCTGGAAGTCTGGTTTTGAGACTTATTTATGTGTTTTCTCATGTCAACTGGGGGGTGGGGTGGGGTGCTATTGGCGTCTGTGTGGCTTACCTCCTCTGAGCTGGGAGAGGTTGGCCAGGGCCCAGGAGCGCCGGTAGGGATGGCAGCCTGAAAGCCCCTTTCTCTGGGCCAGGAGCAGTGGGATGGTGGCTCAGAAGCCCCTACCTCTGGGCTGGGAATGGCAGGACAAAAGGCAGCCCAAAAGCCCTTTCTCTGGGCTGGGAGTGGTGGGAGGGATGGTGGCCGGGCAGCCCCTTCCTCTGGACCAGGAGCAGTGGGATGGTGGCTCAGAAGCCCCTACCTCTGGGCAGGAATTCTTTAAATGCTGAGAACTTGATTAGCTCCAGTACAGTGGTCTGGTGGTCCGGTGTCCTCTGCATCTTTGTAGTGTGGAACCAGGTGGCTGTACAGAGACGAGGCCAAAGGAGCGGGGGGGCGGGGATTGCTGCAGGCTGATTCGGTGTTTTCAGCATGACTGGTGACCTCAGGACCTCGTCCGAAGACCTGCCTGTCTCAGCAGGCTGAGTCGGTATTTTCTGTGCGATTCCAACCTTGTACTTTCTATAAGGTGCTTCACTTCAACCCATAAAATATGCTCACTCTAAAACAAGCCTGGACCTCAGTCCTCCTCCAGCTGCTCTCCAGTCTCTCTTCTACCTTCCTGATCAAACTCCTATCTCCTATTTGCTTTTTTATTTGCTGTTAGCTTCTCTATCTGACATCGAGCATAGTCATTCTACTTAAGTGCTCTTATTAAGATCACAAATGACAAAAAAAATGAATGGGTATGTTTCAGGGTTTATGACATGGCCTCTTTGCTATTCGTGACCCTGCATATGAGGCCCTCCTGCCTCTCCATCTTCAAATTCATCTTCTACAGCTCCCAAGGCCACATTTTAGGCTCCAGCAGCACTAAATCATGGTAATTCTTCATGTTTATTAGGGTTTTTCCCTTTCAGCTGGGCTTTTGCTGGGGTTGTGCCCTTGGAATCCCCTTGAATTCGCTCTCATTCCTCTTGGATGAGTCAACCCTTGCTTATCCTTTGGGACCAGGTGTGGGTGTTGTCTCTGCAGACCTACTTGATTCAGTTCCCAGACTGTCTGGTGCTTGTGCATCTATTCACCTTTATCATCAGATGATCTTATCATCAGATCTTATTATCTGTGTATGTTCTTGTCTCTGCCACATGACAATGAGTTCCTAGAGGAAAAGCACTGTACTTAACCAGCATAGCATAATGCCTGGCATAGTAGTGCCAGATTGATGTCTGCTGGATGAATGACCATATTCTTCCCCTATGAATATTCACAGAAGAGGAGGAGGTTGGCCTGGTGATTGAAGGGTAGGCATTGCCCTGAGGAAAGGTGGAAGGGCAAGGGCCTCCTGGATGCCTTAGGGCAGGTTCCCTAGCAGCAAGGTTTGAGATTGGGTGTCTTGGGAAAGGGAAGGAAGGACCACCAGAAGAGACTCAACAAGGATGCATTCTAAACTTGAGACCAGCATCTGCCTGGGCTACTAGAAGCTCTGAACATGACTCATAGCACAGAATTGGTCCCCAGTATTGATTAGTCACGGCCAGAGTGGGGAGTTGGAGTGAGGGCTCACAAGCCTCTATAAATTTATGTGGCTCCCTTTGGGCCAAGGCCAGCTGAGTTATCATTAGTCCATTCACAGTAACACGGGATTGGGGGCTCAGGGAAGGACACAGGAGGTGTCCATCACACTTGAGGCACAGGAAATGGTGGAGTAGGTTGTCACACCTTGGTCTGCTTAGTAAACTGCACACTGTAGGGTGGAGCTGGAGTGGAGGAAGCAAATGAGCTAGCTCAGAGAGGCTGGACCAGCTGCTTGAGAACCCGGGAGACTTGCCAAGCATGTCAGACAGACTCAAGTCCTGAAGGGGATTTTAAGTATTGACTCCATTGCTTCCAATTGCATTTTTAAAATGTTAGCATGGCAGTAATAAGTGAGTGAAGGAGATGGGCAAGTCAGGAGCTGGGGAGAAAAATTAGGAGTAATTCAGTCATCAAGGTGAAAGAGGATGAATCTGAACTAAGGCAGGAGCTGTGGGGCTGGGAGGAGTATCATCTGGAAGAATGATAAAGGAGATTGGGGGGAAGATTTCTATTCAGAGAGCACTCAAAATACTCATTTCTCTGAAAGGAAGACCTATTCTGTTTACCCTGGCTGCCATGAGGAGCTGAAAATCTGTATTTTCCATCCTGCTGTAACCCAGCCACGGGCTTATAGGATGTGTCTCATCTAAACCAGAATAGTTCAAGGGAAGAGCCGTTCTGGAGTTTAGCTGAATTTAGAAATACGTGGAGGAAATATTTGTCAAGTGGCCCCTTGCTCCTGTGGCATCGTGTTGTACATCTGCTTGGGGGTTGAAAGGGAAAGTGGACACCAAAATCCATGAAATGTGATTCCTGTCCTCAGGCTGCTCATAATCTTACAGGTGAGATAGAAGCATATGACTGTCTGTAATCCAAGTCTAACTGTGATGTGTGCTACAGTGGCAGTGAGCACATGCCCGATCTTAGTCCAAAGTAGAGAAGAATACAAGAGAAGTATAAATAATATGATCTCACCTAGGCAAGGGTGCGATTAATCCTGACCATGGTCTTGGACTCAGAAAACTCTGCTTTACAGGAGAGGGGACAGTGGCACAGGGTCTGGAGGATGAGAGGGATACTGACAGGTAGACTGTCTTGCCCAGCAGAGAAACTAGAAAAATGAAGTCATTCTCCAAGAGAGAAAAATCCCAAAGGTATTAATAAATTGGGGCTTGCCAAACCAAAATAAATCCAGAGTAAATCTGGAAATAGAAACACAGGAATTCTAGGTTTTGGTATTATAGTCTAAACTTTAATTGAATTCTTATTACCCTTTCATTACCTTGGAGGAAACAATTTGAACTCCTGCGGGAAAATGGTGCTATATAAACAGAAAGCAGTGAAATAAATAGGTATATTAGTGTACAAAGGATAGTCATTTAAGTCTATTCAAACCCTAATAATAATAGTTGACTGACATAAACAACACTTTATGCAAATCTGCTTGCAATCTGTCCAAGCTCCCTTTGGAGACTTGTCTTTCTAGAGACTAACCTCTGTATTTTTCTACAATGGCACTGGGCCAGCTGTATTTTTCCACCCTTGCTTTTTCTTTAACAGGTCAACAACGAACGGCTCTATCTGCCTCTGAAGTTGGGGCAAGGGAAGATAAACATCTTTTCTTTTGGCTTCCATGTGGTGGTGGAAACTGACTTTGGCTTAAAGGTTGTGTATGACTGGAAGACCTTCCTATCCATCACAGTTCCTCGGAGCATGCAGAATAGCACTTATGGCCTGTGTGGTCGCTACAATGGCAACCCAGATGATGACCTGGAGATGCCCATGGGTCTGCTTGCATTGAGTACCAATGAGTTTGGGCAGAGCTGGGTGAAGAGGGACACCTTCTGCCAGGTGGGCTGTGGGGACAGCTGTCCATCCTGTGCCAAGGTTGAAGGTTTCTCCAAGGTACAGCAGCTATGCAGCCTGATCCCCAACCAGAATGCTGGCTTCTCCAAGTGCCACAGCAAAGTCAACCCCACCTTCTTCTATAAGAACTGCCTGTTCGACTCATGCATTGATGGGGGTGCAGTGCAGACTGCCTGTAGCTGGTTGCAGAACTATGCTAGCACCTGCCAGACTCAGGGAATTGCAGTGACTGGCTGGAGGAACTACACATCCTGCTGTGAGTCCTTCTCATCTCTCCTTGTAACTTCTCATTATTTATTATTGGTGTGGGAGGCCAGTTTCCAACTCTATAAACGTTGGAGTAAATTGAGTAGAGTGACGGAAGAATATGCACTTTGGAATTGAGTTCATTATTAGAAACAGAATATGTAACCACCCAAGAGCCTCCATTCCCTTATCTGTACAATGGGACTAATGCCACTTATTTCAAGAATTTCTCTGGAGGACAAAATACAATCTTGTATATAAACACAGAGCACTATATGTAGCATTTGGATTCAACAAGTGCCCAATAAAATATTAACCATAGACTAATCAGGGAAGAGTTACCTAGTTACCTAGTGGTTAGTTTGCTGACTTATGCTAGAACCTCATGAGTCCATCATTGTTCAGATAACTTACATGCTTTCTCTAAGTGTGCAATTCTAGTTGATTCACATATGGCATGTTCCAGTCTTTGTGCTTATGAAACATAGCACAATGTTTAGAGTATTAGACATGAAATTAGAACTCCCAGATTCTGCCTTGACTCTGTCCTTCAGGATCTGTGAGACCTTGGAGCAACCCACTTTTCCTCTCTGGTGCTCAGTTTCCCCCTCTGAAAAGCAAGGATAACGCTGCCTATGCCATTTATGCTACAGAAATGTCAAGAGGATCAACTTAGATAATTGGAATACTAGCACATGTGGTGCATGCTAAGTGGTATGGTTATATTAATGGCTTGCTCTGAGCCAAGTACAGTGCAACAACACTTTAGCAACATTATCCCATTTATTCTTTTCAATAACCCAATTAGGCAAAGAGAAATTGAGACTCAGAGGAGTTAAATAACTTGCTTATGCTCATATAATCTCAGTGGCAAAGTTAGGATTTGATCTTCTAACCCCAAAGCCTATACACTATAATAGTGGACTGTGTACTGAGATATTTGCCTACATTTAGCATGTGCAAACAGGAAGAGGTCAGGAGGAGAAACCACTGTTGATCTTGGCTAACCATCCATGGTCTATTTTTCTGTCTCAGTCTCATTAACTATAGCAAATTTCTTTTAGAAGTTCTGACCATACAAAAAGGCTGCAAACTGATGCTGAATGCCTCAAGCTCTATGTAAGGTACCCAGCAGGATTCTCAGAAAGTAAATTTCCATTTTCATCCTAGAAAAGAGAAATATGGATGAAAAATCAGAAATAGTATTATGGCTTAATGTCCACACAGTCAGTTTACAATCTACATGCAGTCCTGGGATTCATGGAGAGTGTGTAGGAGAGTTGGGAAAATAGAGAACGGTGGGATGGGGAAGACTCCAGTACCATTTAATCCAGGCTCAGTCCTGAGCAAGAGAGGTGCCAATAGGAGTGACTGCTAGACAAACTGGCCTCTGGTGTCTTTAAAAAGCCTGGTCTGGATAAATCCCCAGTGGTCCTAGGGACTCATTGGGGTTAGCACAGTGGAACTATAGGTCTTGCCTTCCTCTAAATCTGAAAACAAGACTTTAGACCCAGAGACCTAAAAGTACAGAATAAAGAAATAGCTTTGAAAGTGGAGATTCAGCCTGTTTCTTCTTGAAACCTACTCAGAGGGCTCCCCCTTCACCTGTAGCCATATGTGGCGATGTATTGCTCTCCGGGGAGGCTGGGATCAGAGGCATCATGTATGCCATAAAACATCATTTCTAGCTGTAATGAATAGGCAAATGCATTTATGGGGCAAATGCCAGGAATTCTCACCTCAACTGATGGGCCTTGATTTTTGTCACTTATGGGATGGAAAAGGAATCGCATCAGCAGGCCCAGTAACCTTTCCTCCAAGGAAGATCACCTCACCTCTGTGGAGTCTGGCTGGTGGTAAAGGATATAAAGACCATTTTTCTTCTTCTGTCCTGCCTACCAGTTTAACACTGTCCTTTCCTCTCCTCAAAATTCTGTCCAAATGTTGGTTGCCTCTCTGTACATTAACTAAAGTACTCCTGGGAGCTCTATCCAGAGCATTCAGAGCCAAGTCAGCCTGTCTCAGTCTCAGGTCCCTTCCCTGATATAGACCAGCTGTCTCTAGTGTGGCCCAGGCAGACACATCAGGGTCAGTAGGTAACTAAGGAAGGTTTCCATCACGAGACCCTTTTGACCTTCCTCTGCTTCAACATTTCAGAATGGGGAGTTGTTGGTCATGAATGGCAAAAAGAAAAGCTAAGGGAACAAGTACGTACTTTGAAAATGGTGTGTGGGTTGAGGGTAAGGGACAAGGTGTAGTTGGAGGCTGCTTAGTTTTCCATTTTCAATTCCAGAGACAGAGAGATACTGTGAGATACTGAACCCTACATCATTCATTCAGCAGACGGCCTGGCCTGAACAGTCATTTGTAACTATATTTGAGGTGACTTTGACCTTGGAGGGGCAGGGGCAGGACTGACACAACCCATCATTCTACAACAATTAGTTCATTTCAACACATGTGTTGAGACATGAAAAATGGTGTTTTCAGGAGAAAAGGAGTCTAACCAGAATGTTGTTAAACTTGTGGTTTGTTGGTAGCAAGGTAGAATGCCAATATTTTTCAATGATTTGGCCATTCCTATCGATAAGATAATATATTACCTAATTACTTTATTTGTAAATGCATTAGAAAACGTCTTCACACAAGTTGAACAAATAGGCTGAGAGGGAGAAAGGGAGGTAAATTGCTTTAATGACTGACCCCTCCTTAAAATTTCTTCAGCTGAGATTTTCATTCTGCCAGTCCCATATAAGGGACTTAAATTAGAATAGTTGATGGTGAGAGTAGAGTAAGAGAAACAAATCATAACTAAATAAACAGCTGTTCCTTAGTTGTTACTCCGTGCCTAGTCCTGGTGTGGTTGTGAGGTGTGAACTGACTCCTTCACTCCTCATGCTGACTCCCTATGGCAGGGGCCAGTAAGAATTCTGTTCCCACATGGAGGAAGCTGAGAAACAGTCCCTTTCCCAAGGAAGGAGCACTGGGTGAATGGGGGAATGGCCAGATGGCTCCCCGGGGAATGCTGTCTCTCTGATTCTGCACACTAGCACTTGATATATGGGAGGGGTCAGTTGAGGGCAACAATATGATTCATTTCCATTTTTATCAAAAGAACATTTTGCTCCTTCAGGGTCCTGGATTCAATGTCTGACAACTAGAGTTTTTCTTATTTCTCTGTCTATCCAATAAATTCTGTTGAATAATTTTAAAATGTTCCTGCTACAAAGACTGTTACCATCATCCATAGCAGAAGTTATTATTGAAGTACCAGGGACTTTGTCCCTCATGGAAAGTAAAAGGAAAGTATGAGGAATTTTACAGATTGCATCTCATTTTATCCCCACAACTACTTGATAAGGAGACAGTATCATCTCAATTTTACAGGGGAGAATACAGAGGTTTGGAGAGAGTAAGGAACATGCCCAAGGGAACACTGCTAGTTAGTGACAGACTCCCGGTCATACACAGAGCTGACTCCAAAGCCTTTGTCCATTCCATTGTATTAGATGGCTTCTCAGGGGGTTCCATTCATACTTCTGTCCCCCTGGGGCACATATGCTAAGACTGTCGACTGGCCAAAGGAAAAGACATGCCTTGTTCACAGTCACATGTAGGTGTAGAGCCCATTTGTCACACACAACTTTCAGGACTTCATTGAGGGGGAGAAAGAAGCACCAAACCAGTGTAAAGAACATGAAAATTTGCTTCTGAGAGTCAAATCTCTATTAACCATTTACCATGTTCTCTGTATTGTTTTGTTTGTCATGGAAGAATCTAAAGTAAAAACTAAGGAGTTTATAGTCTCATTGAAGAAATAGGACTTATTTGAAAGACGTGAAAGAACAATGAGCATATTCCCAGATATTTAAATGTATTGTAGAGCTTCCATCACTGTTAATTCCAGTACATGAACAAGTTAAATAAAACAAATTAAATAATAAAAATACAACAAGTTGTTACTGGCATATGAATAGAAAGACCAGCCAGTGAAAAGATGACAATGGCCAGAAATAGGCCTGGATACTAAAGGAAAATTAGTGTATAACAAAACTGGCATTTCAAATCATTGGAAAAAAATGTATTACTTAATAAATAATAAGATAAAGGGCAAATTTGCTGCAAACCAATAGCTAAATCCCTCCTTCATTCCTTGCTGCAAAATAAAGTCCAGAAAGAAAAAAGATTAAAATTGAACATAAAAAATTGAATTATAAAAGTAGTAGAAAAAAACAAATAAGTTTTGTTATTTCTTTTTTTAGTAATCTTGCAGTAGAGAGGAGCTTTCTAAGCAAAACACTCAAGGCTGTGAGGAAAAACTTGATAAATTTAACCATATTAAAATTTTATATCTCTACATGGTAAAAACCTATAAAAATTCAAAAAAATACAAAATTTTTAAAAGAAACAAAGTCAAATGATAAATATTTTATAACACATATGACATATAAAAGTTTATTTTTAATTTATAAAGCACCTTCATAATTTAATAAAAAATTCCAACAACACAAAATATGCAAAGGATATGAAAAGGCAATTCACAGCAAAAGACAAATAAATGGATTACAAGCAAATGAAAAGATGATCAACCTCACAAAGAAATACAAACTAAATATGCATATAGCAGACACAGTGTTTTCCACCTTTCATATTTCTAGGAATCAGAAAATTTGGTGATAAACAATAAGTGAATTAGTGGGAAAACAAACTTCCTCGTGTAGCCCTTGTAGGACTACTTCAGTGGCATGTGTCAAAAATTTACCTTCCTGGGGGTGGAGGTGTGGTTCAATGGTACAGGGCTTACCTAGCATGCATGAGCCCCTGGGTTTGATTCCCAGCATTACAAAAATAAAATAAATTAAATGTACTTACCTTTAAACGCAGACCTTTCACCTCCAGGAACTCATTCTGAAGGCTCACTTATGAGGGCAGAATTATAGTGCAGTGGTACTCAAGCTGCATCACCCTAAGCACATAAAATATAAACACCATGCAGCAGTGCAAAAACCATGATTTGAGACTAAATGGAAGAAAGACTGTCATGAAAAATCACTGAGCAGAAAGGTTTGTAGACTGTGTTCTAATTTATGTAAAAAGAAAAGTAGATATAAGGTGTGCACACATGCTCATATATGCAAGGAAAATTTCTGGGAAAATTATTATAATGTGTTATTAGAGGTTGCCTTTCCTTTGTACTTTACATTTTCTAGCACATAGAGATATTATTTTGTGCACTGTTTTAAAAATTATATATAGTATATAATCACAGTGGTTATATGAATGTATAGATATGTTAAAATTCATAGATATGTGCATTCCAAAATTGCATCTTACCACTAGATAAAAAATAAGCCCCCAGATACATACCTATATATGTTACATACTATACATGTTACTGTATAGAGTATTAGTTTTCATGTAATTGTACATACAGTATATATTAGTATATTAGCATCTATAAATCCTTTGAACAAACCAATCTATTGGACACATAGGTGGCCAGCACTGTTCGAAGCATACAAACTCATTTAATCCCTTGCAACCAGGCATGAAGTAGATGCTATTAGTATCTGCATTTTATAGACAAGGAAGCTGAGGTGCAGGCAGCCTAAGTGACTCGCCTGGTTAACTTACCAGAGCCTGCGTTCTTCCCTGGGACCTTTACTGCCTTCCATAAATGCACCTAGATGTATTTGAAAAATGGTAGAACATAATCAACGTGAGTCAATGTGCACATACACTCAACACACAATGCATGTTTGTCTCGTGGTGCTCAGGGCCCTACTGTGGATCAGCTACTGGTTTTAAAGAAATGTTCTGTAGAAGTTCTGAGATGAAGATGACTTGGCATTGGTTCAGAAGGAGGGAGCCATACAGGAGCTTCAGCTGGGGCTTGAAGAATGGGGAATTGGGACAGGTTGAGAGAACAGATTAAGGGCATGAATAAGAGAGATCAGTGTGAGTGGCGACCTCAGTGCAGGTGTAGGCGACATGTCTAACTGGAGTGGAGTTCCATGTGGGGAGATGGATTAAAGGCAGCTGGTAATGAAGATCTCAGAAACCAAGGCTGAAGATAGGACGAAGATTATGGAAGGAGGCTCCAGCAACTTCCCTCTGTGCACTGGCCCATTATGTGAGCTATAGTGAGTCACAGAGGCTTTCAAGAGGCAGAGAGAGTAGTGAGGAAGAGTGGCCAGCCTCACCCATGCCTCCCTCTCCCCGAGCAAAAGCTGTAAGGAAGCTATTTACAGTGCACAGGACTGAGCACGTCTTGACTTGTCTCCTCTGTTCCAGCGGTCACCTGCCCTCCCAACAGCCATTATGAGAGCTGTGTGAGTGTCTGCCAGCCCCGCTGTGCCGCCATCCGCCTGAAGAGTGACTGCAACCACTACTGTGTGGAAGGCTGTCAGTGTGATGCGGGCTACGTCCTCAATGGCAAGAGCTGCATCGTGCCTCACAACTGTGGTTGCTACTCAGATGGCAAATACTATGAGGTACGGGAGGCCCCAGTTTTTCTTTTTGCCAATCATCAAGTTTCATTTCAACTCCAAAAGGTGGTTGGGATTGACAGATCTCCCAGTCTGATGATGTGGAATTTGGTGCTTATTGCCAGGCAGGTAGGGGGAAGAAAGAGGTCAAGCACTGCTCAGAGGAGGTTCTTGGTCACTGTGAGATTTGGAAAAGCTCTGGGTCTCACTCTCGTCTCCTCTCCAAATGGGCAAGGCCTCTTACTCTCTCAAAGGCCTTTCTCTATAGCCTAGGCCCTTCTGAATTCCTATCCTGTATATCCGAGTTTGAAAGGCTGTTGCTTGGAAATATGGTGGCTGTGAATCTGACATTTGTAACTGTCTCAGTGAAGGACATTTTTAAACTATAATATGTGGAGCTTGAAGCTGGAGGAGTGGGCTTCCCTTTCTGACAACTGAAGCTCCCAGAGAGTGAGCTATGGTTACCACCTCCAAATGTGTCATTTGTCACTCTGATATCATCCCCAGAGTTAGATCTGGGCTACTTTCTGCTGTGCCCTGACATCCCACTGTCTTTATGGGGGCTTAAATATAGATGAAGAGGCCCCTCATCGGTGTTTTCCAACAAGACATATTAGCTCACTAAATCATTTTATTCTTTAGACTCTTTAATCTCCCACCCTTTTATCCCTAGCCTGTACTGGGGATTTGAAACTAGGACCACTGGCATACTAGGCAAGGTCTGTACTACTGAGATACACCCCATTTCTGTAATCTTCTCTAATGTGCCACGATAGTGAGGTAGAAAAGGCCTTGCTAGAGATGGTCTTTGTTTATGGTTATGCCTCATGCCCATTCCCTGTTTAAAAGATGTCAAAAACTCCTCTGGATAAGCAGACAGTTAACAACTGCAAAAACCAAATACTTGCTATTTGTAAACCACTGTGCTGGTGGTATTGTGTAGGATGAGGAAGCATGTTCCCTGCCTTATGGAACTAGAAGTCTATTCAAGAGGGAAAAAAATTGTGCTTTAAAGAACAAGAGAAAAATTACAAAATAAGGTATTAACAAGTGAAAAATAATACCCTACAGAACTAATCGAATTTAAATGAAAGACAACAGTAGCATTTAAAAGAAATTTAATTGAAATATCTGAATTGGAAATCAACTAGGCAAAAAATAAATGATTTCTCCTTTTTGTAAAGATGCATTGACTTATTCAAAAACAACTAAGTCACCTTTGCCTTGGGAATAAATAAAAGCACAGTAATGCAGATGTTACCTTCAATTTCATCAGAAAGTGTATTTAAGTGCTGTATTAGAAGCAGAAAAGAAGCAGAATAAAATAGTAGAACTAACTTCTTAGGAGAGATAGTATTCATGTTAACCTTAGGAATATTATTTAAAGGAGGAGGCAGAACATGTAGGAGAAAATAATACTAATTTGGTTTTCTAATAATCTGGGAGAAGATATGACCAGGCTCAAGAGTCAAAGAGCATGCTTCTAAACTCTCCTCCCTGGCCCAGAAACTAACCAAAATATATCCATCAACTGGGCTGTGCACCCCTCTTCTGGGATGCTGAGTGTCAGTGGCATAAGCAAATGAGACCTGGATTTGATCCTAGCTCTACCACTGCTGGAGGTGTCACACTGAACCAACTGTGTCATTTTCCTGAGCTTCTGTTTCCTGCTGAATGAAATTGGGTTTAAAATATCAACTCAGTGGGGTCGTTGTATAATCTAGGGTAGGTGCCTAGCATACCACTTGTCACTTAGTCATTCAATAATTGGTGGCTGCTATTGTTGTTGCAATTCTCTTGAGAAACATTTTGTATATAAAAAAATCCAGGCATGTTAATGAAATGATGCATATAAAAGCCCTTGGAATCTCAAGAAAGGCACACTACACTTCTCAGCAGCTATTGTTACTGTAAACATTATTATCTGTTTTTCATCAGAAAGTCAGTGGGTTTTGACAACTGCTTATATCTGGGAAGTAGTGAACTCACAGAATAAATAATCCACATCCACTCGGAACAATTCAAACAAGCTTGGAGCTTGTTTATACAGCACATTTCTTTGGAAATAAAGAGAGAACACATCTAGCCATTAGCATATAGGGTAATCACGCAGCTGTCCTTGTCATGTCTAATTAAGGTAAAGAAAGCAGCATGGGGCCACCTACTTCCCTGTGATGCTAGTTTCATGATCAAGTTCTCCCATGGATGAGTTATTTACTCTTGATCATATCCACATATATCAAGTTTTTTTTCTCTTCTCACCAGTGTAATGTCTGAGTTCTTATCAGAGAGAGGCCAGACCAACCTCTCAGTTATTCTGTAGATCTGATAAGAGAAATGAAGTCAATTTGTAAGGCTTCTAGCACCCAGAATATGTTGTAGATCTGGAAGAAGAGAAGATGGGGTTCTAGGAACTGCTTTACTTTGAGGATGAAAGAATCAACAATGGCATTTTGAAGTGCACTGGATGGAAAGATTTCACTCTCTCTAGTTATCCTTTTATCTTAGTGTTAGCTGTAGTTGATATATACAGTTTTGGTAAATCTATAATCAAAGCAGAAAACAGTAAAAAGACAGAACTATAGACTTCTTTGTGCCATTAAAACATATTTTCTTGGGGCTGGGGATTTAGCTCAGTGGTTTTGCTGCCTGCTGCACAAGCCCAAGGACCTGAGTTCGATCCCCAGTACCAAAAACAAACAAAAAAACATATTTTCTTGATAGAACTGTTTTAGTAAATTGATATGGGTTGAGCATCTCTAATCTGAAAAGCTGAACTCTAAAATGTTCCACAACTTTTTGAGGGCTGATATGATGCCAGAAGTAAAAAATTCCACACCATGGAACTTTGTTTTATGAAGAAAATTATCAAAATAATGTTTTAAATCACTTTCGGGCTAAGTGTAAAAGATGCATATGAAACATAGATGAATTTTGTGTTTAGACTGCGTCACATCCCCAAGATAGATTGATCTATCTATCTATGTGTTATTATATTATACATGAATATTCCAAAATCTGAAAAAATCAAAAATCTAAAACACTCCTGCTCCCAGGCACTTCAGATAAGGGATATTAAACCAGGATGTTCAACTTGTAATACATTGTGTGCCCATATCTCTATGTCATAATATACTTATCCAGGCCACACCCCACTTGAACAATCATGATCAATTTCAAACAGTTCCCTTACACTCTTAAACTTAGTATAAGATCATTTACACAAATTTCACCAAGTAGAATTATGTCTACTACAGACTGTTACCTGTTTGGAAAGAGCTGAAAATAATAGCTGTCTCCAATTGAGGGTATATTATGTTCTAGGTATTTTAATGGTTTTATATAACCTCTTCACTCTCTAAAAGAGGATGAATGTAACTACAGTAGCTGTTATTTACTGAGTGCCCACTGTACCCCAGGAAGTATGTTTCACATGTCTTATTTTTCCCTTCACAATTGCCCTGCAAGACATGATTATGATTTCCAATTTAGAGATGAACAAACTGACCTTCTGGGCTGTTAACTGTGTACCTCAGGACAGCACGTGCAGGGTAACAGGACTGAGACTGGTACCCAAGTTGTCTGTCTGAGCCTGAACGTTTTCTTTCTCCAAAACCTAGCTGCTTGATAGATTTCTCACAATTCAGGACCTAGTGAAATGGAGCTACTTGCCACAGAAGTTAAGACTCAAGGGAATACTTGGAAGAGTGAATATTGGGAAATGTTGAAATAGTTAATACTAACAGTTGGTTATCACTTACTTTTGAATATTTAAGGTTTGAAGGGTGGTTTCTCATTCTTGAGTGAATTTAAATTTCATTTTTGAAGCGGAGCCTGCACTTATTAAACATAATTCCTTG